CATATCTTGCATACTGGGCTTGCAACTAAACTACAATTTAGTTTAAGAATTGACCACAACTATCATTAAAACAAGGACTAGCGAATTTATTGTCACATTGTAGGTGGATCTAAATTGTAGATGTTACAAGTGAACTTATCGAGACATGTGACAGGATAGCTCTTTACTTGCATCAACTTCTCGGGCATTTATAATATGGAGCTCTCTTTTTCTTTCCAAATTCTACGCGACGACAGGGAGCAAATAAATCCTTATGACGAATCTATCGTAGTTTTGTGCTCTTCTGCATTAGCAATTCCCTCATTCCTTCCTTTGCTCACCTTTCGCCATTCAACTCTTCCATCCGACCGTCGAATTAATTTATATTCTTGGGTACATTCTGGAAGACAGATGTTTTTCTCGCTCCCAAACTAATTTGAGAGAAGTAGCTGAAATTATTCATAAATAAAACATAATTTGAGCAGAGGTTACAATTGAAAGATGTGACGTGCAAAGCTAAAGCATATCATGCACTAGACAGGATGTGCGTGGTCAAGCTGTTTGTCGAGCTTCATCAATAGCTGATAAGAGCAAGTGTTCTCATAAGTTGTTGATAAAAATGTTTAATTGTATCTAAATGGTCATGAAACTTTAAATATAAATGTAATCTCATTCCTCCATTTCCTGTGGCAAGCTGATTTAGTCAAATTTTATTGTAATCCTTTATACATTCTCGATTTAAATTGATGGATTCATATAAACCATTTTTTGTTACGGCAACTTTTTGCATTTTTGTTTAGAGAATTCAATAAGTTTTGCAAATAGGAAGACCAATATTGTGTGTTCTTCGGTTTGGTCACCATCTTCCTTAGCTGTATCACGTTCGTTTAGCCTACTTTTCGCAATTTTCTCGGAACGATAGTGATAACTTTTGGAATCTACCTAGTTCTGCGTCCTCTGTCATACTATGCGCGATAATTTCCTCATCAGACTGGTGACTTGGTACATTTTCATACACTTGCCGTCATTATCAGTGAGGGGCATCATTTTTAGCGCAGTGGTTCCTCTTCCTTCAGCCTCACTTAATATGGGTCATTCATGAGGCCTATTCACACCGTTATGTATCTTCATTTTCTCCAATCCTGCCTAAGAGTGTGCCACTCCACGTGGAGTTAGTGAGTTGTTCCTTGTTTTATTCTCCACATCGGTGAGTTGGTATTGCATAGTATATGGTATGGTGGACTTCTTGGATTATGTCACATAAAAGTCGGCAACTCAAGCATTATTCGCTTAAGGCTTTTGCATTACTCTAAACACGGGTTTTCGTGGCAGTCTGGGAAGCGCGGTAATTGCATGACAGCAAGAATGCCAATGCTACTCGGGAGGGGATGAAAGTATGGAGGGCCATAGGTCGTGGGAGTATTAAAAATCCGTTTCTTCAAGTAGGCTTAGTCAATTCTGTACTGCTAATTTGCTATTCCAAAATCCTCCTCCCAATTAGCTTTCTTGCCTTGCCGGCTTAAAGTGTCGGGGTACAGATTAACTCGTAGGAGCGTTTCTCAACCCTAAAAGCAGCATAACCGAATATTAGGGGTCGCTTCAATACGTTCGGTCTATAAGGACTGATTTTGCCAAATCTTCTCTTCACCCAAAGTCCATCTTCATCTCTCAGGCATCCAAATTTGTGCCAGCCCCACCTTAACGTCAATGTCTACAGACACAATCCGAGTCCCGTTTCCGAGCCGACACTTTCCGGGATATTTTGGCCTGTACCTATTCGGCCTGAAGTATATGCCACAGCAACCCGTTGCCTCCCCTTTTCTACCCTCCGTCAAGAGCGGGAACTGGGCATGGGCAAGAATGTAAATTGTTGCATTGTCTCGGGGACTAAGCGAGAAAATGCAGCAAGGCCTGATTGTGTGGCAAGATTGCTGCTTGTGGGCGTCTGGCTTTATTCGACAAAAGAGGAGGATTCGCGGTAAAACGACTAGAATAAATAGAAGGTTGGGAATCCGTTAAATGCCAATTTTCATATTTACTGATTTGGACAGCGTGACAGAGAGGCTGGCTCTTTGCTTCCCTCACGAAAAGTCAAAGAAGGTGACGAAATGAATCTAGCTCGAATAAATCAAAGGGCTTATATCCATTGAATGAACGCTTAAGCCCTAGTGTCAGTCCTCTAGCCACTCTCCTCAGGGCAACCATATTCTCCATAATGCATGGCCTTGTTGCTAAGGCTATGGTAGTCCTGATCCTCTTTCTTCGGGTGGTGTCGTCGGAGAAGACAGAACAAGGATCGTCAAGGTCTCTGGGATTAACTGAACTCTCTCCGGACAAACAAGCGCCTGCCATCGTAAGTTGATCTTGTAATTCTCAGCATACACTAATTATACACATGCACATGCACAAACACACACCCGTTTAAGCACAGTAATTCGCAAGTACACATAAGCTCACGCACTCATGCACATACAGTTGTAGAAGATGATACCAGCGAGTGGATACACATTTCACTGCACGCACATAATTAGACTTTTGCGAAACTGCTCGCCTTCTTAACTGTAGATTTGGGGCAGGAAGGAGCCGCCAACTAGTTTCTGATAGTCGTCATTTTTGTGGAAATGATGCAGAGGTCAACAATGTTCGCGTTAAAGAGTAAAGCAGTTCTAATCTGTGTGGAAACAGAGCAAGAATAGTCCTCTTGAGGGAGAAAAGTGGGAACTGAGGGATATTTTCAGCCATTTTGGTATCATTAATATATTTGGCATTGCCAACAAATTAGATATTAGAATGTTATTTGTGCATTTGCGTTGCTATGTTTATTCAAAAATTTTCTTATTTTTCAAATCCACAATCTAGTTATCCATGCTATAGCCATTCATACCAATTTATTAAGTATTTGTAGCCTAATGAGCTGCGGAAAAGAGTCAGGTTTGCGTAATACTCACAAGACAGGAAGAAGCTTGTCGAAACTCTAAACTAAAAAGGCTAGATAGCAAAGTTGTGGCCATCTGCTGCATGAAAAATAAATAAGGATGAGGGACATCATACCTACCCGTCGTCTCTTGATGTCAAGTTTCACTGGGTTTAAGCTAAAGTTTTCTAGTGAATATCTTGTTCATCCTGCTTCAATTGAGCAAAGCGTATTTTCATCAATTTTAGGATATTATATGTCTTTTTAGTCCAGATTTCATATCCGAAAAGAATTACTTTTTCGACTCTGACTGCATTTCAACACGCCGTCCAAAGAGATGCAAATCAAGAGGGATGAGTCTAGAGAAGAAATAAAGATAAATCTGGAACAACTTCTTTAGCAATAGAAAATATGCCTCACATAACTCAAATATACATTAAAAATATGAAGACCAAGATGGTGTAGACTTTTTTGTGGTCGCAGTCTCCTTTAGTTTTATAAAAGTTGTTTGACCTTATTTTCGCAACTCGGTCATATTGGCAGGAAGACTTAAAGGAACGCACCGAGTCCGAAGTCTATTGTATGCATCATCATTTCCAGAGTAGGACCGTGGACGTAGTACATTCCCAGACGTTTAGCTGGCATCGTCAGTGAGTCTCGCCATTCGTAGCACCATATTACAACTCGTCAAAGAGACAAGTAAAGCTCATTATTTGACCAAACGTGTGCTAAACAGTTGTCTCTTGTCTCTTTGACGAGTTTTTGTGTGGTGCTACGAATTGTGAGACTCACTGACGATGCCGATTACCTGCCGGTGAAACGTCTGGGAACGTACCACGTCCATGGTCTGACTTTGGAAATAATGATGCATACAATGAACTCCGGACAAGGTGCGTTGCTTTAAGTCTTCCTACCAATATGACCGAGTTGTGAAAACGAGGTCAAACAACTTCTATACCACGAAAGCAGACTGTGACCACAAAAAAGGCCACACCATCTTGGTATTTATACCATCGATTAAGCTATGTAAGTAAGATTGCCAAACAATGCACTAATAACAGCCAAACAAAGAAGACGATAGTAAGTCAATCCTGCCATTTGACCTTTTTTGAATTGTTCTAAACATTATGGTATCGTTCCTCGATTCTGCAATCTAATGAGGAAGTGTCATTCGGACAAATTCAATGAAATAATTTATCACGCCTCCATTCAGAAATTAGAGGACAGTTACGAGACTGAGAGGCGTAAGCTATTTAAGTTCATAGATCTCAAGTCCAGATTAAAGAAGGATCTAGGCAGGGTCCACACTTTTGATGATTTTCTAAAACTCCAGAACAAGACGCACAGAAGTCACAGAAGGTTCGGGATCTGATAATTAAGCAGCATGACAAGAAATTGCTAAGCTATGGGATAATAAGAAAGCGCAAGACCAAGCCAGTCCATGCAACTTTTGATGGTTATTTATTGAAGGCATCAGCTGCTACAGACGACGATAGGACAAAAGGTAGTAAACCTATCTTCAATCCCTCTTGATTCTGAAACTACGGATCTCTTAAACAAGCGATTACATTTTTCACCAGGTAATGAAGGAAAAATTCTTAATAATATTCTGGTAGAAGTTATCAACCCAACAGATAAATATCCAGAAGAGACAAGGCGGGAGATGGAACTGGAAATATTCCCACAGATCGAGACACATCCAGAACCGATACACACGAGCAGATTGGCTGTTATTAGGAAAAAATTACAAAAGAATGATCAAATACTTCTTCAGGCGGATAAGGGAGGAGCGACGGTTGTAATGGACAGGAAACATTACACGGAGAAAATGGTAAGTATCCTTGCCTACCGCAACACTTATAAAATAATAATGAAGGATCCAACCATGAAGATCAACGTGACCCTGAAGAATATGATAAAGAGAATGCATAATAATGGGGAAATTGATAGATTGATGATGAAATCTTTAATTTAAAATGATGCAAGATCACTGACAGCCTACGGACTATCGAAGATACACAAGGAAGGAAATCAGCTAAGACTAATAGTCAACAGCAAGCCTGGAGCAATACACAAACTAGCGAAATTCATTTGCTTATAGCTCAAGAAGGTAGATGACAGAATCTCGAATACCGTCAAGAATTCATATGAATTTTCTCAAAGGATCCAGAGAATTAGGTTGGTGGAGTCGGAACTGTTGGTGAGTTTTGATGTACAATGCATGTACACAAACATCTCAGGTGAGAAAGCAGCAACCACCTTGCTGAAGATATTGGAGCGAGAAGAGGACATCCTGGAGACAGAACGGATACGGAAATAATCGTTAACACGACTGATCAACATGATAGTAAGGAACACTTATTTTACATTTAACGGCAGTATCTACGAGCAAATATTTGGACTACCGATGGGATCTCAGCTCTCGCCTGTTTTTGCAAATGTGTACATGGACAAGTTGGAAAAGCAATTCGAGAAGTCGCCACTGCAACTAAGAGAGCTCATGCGATATTTGGATGAACACTTTGTACTTTGGCCACATTTTGAGTAAAATTTAAATGAATTCCTCAATTTCATTAACCAACTTGAGGAAGATGAACGACTACCCTTTCTGGATATTGAAGTCATGCGCTACAAAGGGACACTCATGAGGAACCTATGCAGAATAAATTCGTATGCGGGAATA